AGACCAAACCCACCTGCAGCATCCAACCTGTGAACTAACCCACCCCACTTCTGCAGCCTGTGGGGCTGGAAGGTTGAGCACCATTGCTCTAGGCCAGTGCTTTTTAATCTTTTTAGACTCAAGGCACCCCATGAAAAATCCCGGCTGTTGGCCTTCACTCATTTTTTTACTACAAAACAATAATAAAGCAATTCTTTTGTTGCAACAAATTCAGAAAGACCAAAACAGGTCAGAATGTTTCCAACTCTATGGATTTCTGATTGAAAACTCTGGGTTTATCTTGTGAATCGTGTGCAGGTGTTTGCATACTTAAGAGTGCTAATATTGTGCAATATCATAGGGCACCCTTAAAAGGATCTCACAGCACTGCATGGTGTCACAGAACCCCAGTGGAGAGTCACTGCTGTGGACACAAAAAATCCAAATGACATTGGGGTCCTTGTATAAGACTAAGACATGTGCTACTATGTTACTACTACTGCTGCCCCTACTACTTCTGCTACAGGTTATGATGGTCAAATTCTGTCCTAAGTGATACTTGCAATTCCATTGTCTTGACTGTTGGTTGCACAAGACTCACCGATTTGGATTTAGTAAATAATTCAGTTAAGAGAGGCACAGGAGGAATTAGAACACTTCTCTCTTTCTTTGAACTGTGCTGGCTTTGCAGGGCTAATGCAAACAGAAAAGGAGTAAATAATCTCTCACAAATGTCAGCAAATATTATTCTAAGTACACACAAGCAGGGGACCTATTAAAATGGAAAGTGCCATTTTTACATAGCTATTTTTTTTCCATTGCCCTTCATGGTAGGTGCTGTAAAATCAGCTCTGCCATTCCTATTCTTTATTATTGCACAACTGATGGTGAAAATTCTGCTCTCAGGCTTTCTTCTGTCATTCTTAGAATGCAGTTTCATAGCTCTGCTTGGAATACCAACTCTCAGTAACCATAATGAGATTTTACTAACCAGCAAATGTGTTTGAAGTTATGGAATAGCATCATCCCCACAGCAGGGGAAAAGCCAATCAGTTCCTCTCTGTAGCATTTGCTAGGATCTTAGGAAGTAGCTGTCCATCCTGATCATTTAAATAATAACAGTAATATCCAGATGTGGAATGAAAGCATCTTCTCCCTGTCAAACATTTGGAGTGATTACATGAAATACATGCTTGCCTTTGATACTTCCATGGAACTTGCCTACAGAGAGTTAGGAAGAGGTGAGCAGACTAGTGACTCAGCAGGGACAAGATAAATGACAGCCTTTTACCCTTCCCCAGTGGCAGGGCAGCAAAAGGCCTGTGAACAAGTAGGTATATGGCTTCAGTAGGGCTTTGCATCCTTCTCACAAGAACATTGGGCTTACCCAAGGGTTCTTGTTTCCTATAGGTGCTTGGATCCACAGTAATGCTCAGGGGTGGAGTTTTCCATGTGTTCATCACCGGCAAGTGTCGCACCAATCAGCTGATTCTGCTTCTTTCGGCACTTGCGTCAACCATGCACACTGGCTTTCAGTACAAGGACCCCTTTAAGTGAAAACAATGTTGTCACCAAGCAGATAGCCACCCAGCATTCCTCCTTGCTCAGACTCAGAATGAGGTAGATGTTTGGGAGGTGGACTGGTTAAATTGGGGTGGGCAGGTTGGTCTTTTAATGATGTACAGCTTTAAAATTCATCACAGCAAGCAGAACTGCTGAAAAAAAAATCCTTCCTGGCTGTATTTTGAATGCAGAAATGCTGTACACTGTTGTCATTCCTCTTCCTCTGAAGGGTATAGGTGGTAACCCTATCCACCATAAAGAATTTAATTTCCTGTTGGTAGCTGTAAAAGTTCCATATGAAAGCAAGGAAACAAGGCTTACAGCTTGTTAACATTGTTGGAGTATCCTTTGTCGTAAACACAGAGATCTTGTTTGCAGGGAGGATGTATCACTAAACTGGAACAGTTCCTGGCAGATCACCTCTTGATAATGGGAGCTGTCGGCGTAGGAGTATCCTGTCTTCAGGTGAGACCCATGGACCCATCATATGGTGGGCCCTCATTCCAATCCATTTCATGCAATGTAGAGGAAGGATGCAGCTCATCATGCAGCTTTGAGACTAGGTGATCTGAAAAAATAACTGGTATCTATTGCCAGGCTTCAGCAGACAGGAATCAGAGAAAGAAAGTTTTCAAATCTGGATCCATGTTTGCTGCAATATGGGTTTCTCCCAGGTGCTGACCTAGCCCATATGGTCTTCCAGCAGTGTTTTCCTTGTTGCTTTTGTTTTATTAAATGATAAATCAGTCATTGCCCTGAGAACAGAAATTTTCTAACTGAGTGGCTTTTGAGGCCAACCTAAGCCATGACATTTATTTAATATTATTTATTTTTTTATTTTTAGAAAAAGCGAGCAGGTATTGGTCTAGAAAGATAGCATGTAGGGAAAATATTTAGGGCACAAACAGAAATGAAATTTGTTCTGCTATTGGCCCCGTTTGCTGTGTGATTAGCTCTAAAGTCGTGCCCAAACAGATTGTGCAACAAATTAAGCCTCGTTGTATGAGGCTTCAAATGAAACCACTCCTAAGTGGAGCGACATAATTAATTTTGGTTTGCTCCAGCTGTATCACAGTGAGCAACAGCTGCTGTTTCTGAATGGAGGTCCCCTCTTGAATTTTCTCAGCCCCACTGGAGCGGGTGGGGGGCAAGTATTGGAGCTCCCCACTCCAGCAGGGCTGAGAAAACCCCAGAAGACCTCCTTACCCTGCCTTTTCCCCCACTGCCATCCAGAGATAGCAATGGGGCAGAGACAGGGAAAGATGACGCCTCTCTTCCCCAATTGGCTCCAAGTTGGAACTTATGTTTCCACCCTTCCAATTCAACAACTAGCATCTGTTGGATGGGAGGGATCAGTCTAACTCATGGTGTTTCCTATGAATTGCCGTGAGTTAGACCTGGGAGCTGCACTTCTGTCTGTGCCCTTACAGAGTGAATTAATATAATACCTTTCCTTCAGCTCCCATGAAAATGAGCCAGGGCTTTGGATGAATGGTGCTCTTCCAATACCAGCTTTGGAGTGCTATTTTCCCTCAGGACTCTATTTCCTGCCTCTACGTGGAGAACTTCATTTAGAACACAGGGCTGCATCTACACGAGATGTTTATTGCAGAGTTGACTGATTAACTGCGCGGTAAGCATCTCAGCATCTACATTGTGCCCCAGTTAGGGTGCCCGAAACTGATAAACTCCATAGCAGGGTTGACTTGTAAAATACAAGTATTACCCTGCTGCAGGATTTTTTCATGCACAGCAGTGCATGTGCAGACACTGCTCCGGCTGGCTGAGACACAGTGTGCTTCAGTGTGGGGCTAGCCGGCAGGCAGCCCCCATGCTGAATCACCCTTATGCCCTGGCCAGCCGCTCTGCAGCATGGGGAGCCCCATGGGAGCAACCAGCCTTGGGCTGGCAGGCTGACCTTCCAGGTCCCCTGCCAGCCCAGGCTGCTCTGATGGAGCACCACATGCTGAGCACAAATAAACTCTAGAGCAATATGTTCTGGAGTTTTTGCTCCTGAGCGCATGCTCAAAAAAGAACATGCCTAGAAGCAAAAAACTGCCAAGCAGTAAGCATCAGAGTTTATTCATGCATATTAATCGCACATGTAGACATGTCCAGGTTCTCTTCCAAACTTGCTGTCTAGGTGAAACAGGTAATTGAAAAAGGGAATGGCAGATTTCAGGTCTCTAAAGACAGCACCAGTCTATACTACTCTTGTGGCAAATTTCAGGAAGGTAATATACAATTAGAAAGCTGTCTGCCATCAGCTGCAGTGGAGGTAGGGGATCAGTGTTCTTTCCTCCTATGATGTTTTTGTTCCTCAAAATTTTATTCATAAGAAATATTATATTTACTTGCATACTATATGCACCTTTTCCCCAAAATCAGCCTTTGAAAACCAGGATATGTCTTAAACAAGCTGAGTTTTCTTTGCTGGAATAGAAGTATGGAGACACTGCTGCAAGGTGGCTGCTAGGCTTCTCCCTCTGCCATCCTCAGGGAGAGAAGTGGCAGAGTTCACCGCTGAAGGTCACAGTTACAGTGTTAACCTTTTCACAGCCACAGTCACTTCAGTCAGGCTCCCCTGCAGTCAGCCATGACTGGAAAATGTTTTTTTCTGCCTTCCTAAAGTGTTTGTCTTATTTGATGGCATGCAGTGTACAAGAAAATACAGTCAACATTTTTTACTCCTACTGCCCTTTCCATATGGTCTCAAAATATTATGAAAAGTGATGAATTAGCCCTGACACTTCTATGAAGCTGTAAAATATTATTATTCCTGTTATGATTGTGCCTGGGCAAATAAGCTGTAGTGCTGGGTTGTATATAACCATAGAACAAAGATAGTCCTGGTCCTACAGAGTATATAATCTTAATATTGGCCTCACCTTTTAGACACAGGAGCAGAGGCATGGGAATTGCAAGTACCCTGTTCAAGGTTACACAGTAAGTTGCTGGCTTTGGGAACAAAACCCAAAGTTTTCCTGCCTCCTGCTTCTGTGTTTTAAGCAGCTGACAATGCTGATCCATTTGAAAAGATTTCCCCCCATACAGGAAGACATTGTTAGACTCCCTCTCTGTCAGGTTCTTTATCTAATCTCACATGCTGCCTTCATTTCAGAGGTAGATCTATATGTACTTTTCCGCTCAAAGAGCCAGCAAAGCTTCCCTTTTATGTTTAACAAACTGGAAACTCAGTAAAGGGAAAAGGACAGGAAGCATTAGGTCTGCCTTAGATCAGAGATATTTGTAGAGAACAGGAGACATATCAGAAATTCCATGCTAACCCTGGAACAGCTAATTTAATATCACTTGCTGTGTAGGGGCTTGCGGCTAGCAATCATGGACATCCTTGGCTGCTTATTTCCCTTCAGTTCTTTGTTATCACCAGGTGCTCCTAATTCTGTGGCTTTCAACATACAGGAGCCATTTCAAAACATACAGAGTCAATCCCAGTACCTCTGATGTAGAAATGTAGTTGGATGTGGATCTCTGTCATGTCTGCTAATTGTGAATTTGTCACTCAGGGGAAAGATCATGGATTCATTTCTCTCTTTCTGTGCTTCCCATAGGCATAACTTAGGTCTCTTGCAGTACACAACAAAACAGGGAATATGGCCCCAGTCCTGGTTCAGGTTATCTTAACAGCTGTGATCCAGGAGAGCATTCCTCATACTGCCCAAGCAGGTACTAAGCCACCTTCCAATGTATGCAGTATAAATAAGCAGTAACAGGGTGCATCTACATGTGCAATTAATGCAACACAATAAACTCTGGAGCAGTTCAAGCAAGAATAAACTGCTCCCAGGTGCAGCATCTACACATGCTCCCAGGATGGCAGCAATTTGAGCCAGGGCAAGGCAGGGCCCCCCAGCTGGCTGGACTGACCAGGCATAATTTATACCGATGGTCGATATCTACACATGCATTTCAGCACAGTAAATTACTCCACTGTAGAATAGTACTGTCCCCAGCAGTACTATTTTACAGCAGAGTTCATTAGTTTATCATGCCCTAATACCAGCCCACATGTAGATGGTGATGCTTTACTGCAGAGCTAATTAGTCTACTCCTCAGTAAAGTGCATATGTAGATGCACCCACAGAGAAGCATCTGAGATGTCGTAGTGTGCTTTTGGAAATCCTCCAGAGTCTATAAATTGCAAGAAAATACACTATTCTATTCCTAGATGTGACTTTTTTCACATGGGGAAATGCACTATTGCTAAACGTGAGTCTCTTCTTTCCGCCTGAGAAATGACTGTGGTAAAGTGACAATGGATTGTAGTGTCCACCACTAAAAATAAGATTTCATCGTGAGGTGTGTTAGATGAATGGGAAGGACTTTCAAGTGTGAATGTCAAGGGCTTTTGTTCTTGAATATCAACAGGTGCTTAGCCTTCACAATGACTTTTTGTGCACTTCAGTCTGACCATGTAATATTTTATTGAATTTACTACCTCAGCTTGGAATAGACCATTTAAATAACCTTAATGCAATTTTACCAATGAGCAAATGTGGTTGAAAGTACAAAATAGCATCATCTACATGGCAGAGGGAAAGCCAGATGCTTCTTCTCTCTAGCCACCACAAGGGCCTCAGGTTTAATGAGGGAGTGTTCATTGTGGTCATTCAAAAATAGGGCAGATGGGAGGGAAGAGCCAGGATTAACAGCTCCTCATTAAACTTGGTGGCTACAAAAAGGAAGCATCTGGCTTTCCCTCTGCTATGGAGAAGATGCTGTTTTGCACTCTTAACCACGTTTGCTATGGGTAACCAATGGATGTGAAATAGCTCAGCTTTAGTAAGGCTTTTGATGCTATTTCCCCTGACATTCCCAAAAGCTAAGGAAACATAGTCTAGATGACATTGGTATGAGGTGGTTGCACAACTACTAGTATAATCATGTTCAAAGACTAGTAATCAATGGTTCAGTATCAAAGTGGGGGGAGATATCACCTGGTATTCCCCAAGAATCTGTCCTGGGTCCTATATTGGTCAGTACTGTAATTAATAACTTGGATGATCTAGTTGAGCATTCTTTTATTGGATTCATGTATTACAAGCTGATGGAGTAGGGTACTTGTAGGTTCTTTAGAGTACAGACTTAGGATTCAAAATGACTATGATAAATAGGAGAAACATGTTTTGAATTAAATGGGATAACATTCAGTTAAGGCAAGCATAGAGTCTTGGAAGGTATAGTCTTATGCACAAAATGGGGAATCAATGGCTAGGCTGAAGTATCTTGAGTTTCTTTAGTCTGGAGAAAAGAAGGCTAAGGCAGGGTGTGATAACTGTTCAAACACAAAACATTTTGTTACAGAAAGGATGACCATCAATTTTATTCTATGTCCACCAGGGACAAGACTAGGAGTAAATGTGCTTGTAACTGCAACCAACCAGGGAGATGTAGGAAAGATATTAGAAAGAACTTTCCAATCATGGGAGAGATTAAGCATTGGA